GCGAGAATGGGTGGACGAATGGATTGCTTCGAAACAAACATCGTTTTATCGAGATGGTATCGCCCAGTTGCCAGAAAGATGGCAAAAAGTTGTAGAAAGTGATGGAAAATACTTTCATTGAAATAATTTAAATAAATTTTTTACAATAAATGCTTTTTCTCAGTATTTTTTGGGCGGAAACTAAGTTAAGGTCCTAATATTATATAGCTGGAATATAAATTATTATTTCCCAGCAATTATAGGTATTTAATTGTACGCAGAAATTATAAGCTATCACTTAATTTGTAAAAATATTATAATTATATATTTTATATCAAAAATATTTTTACTAAAGATAATAATATAAAAGTATTTTGCCATTCTAAATTAATTAGCTCTCAAATAACACAATATATTCCAGAATCATCCTAGAGCTATTCTAAGCATCTAGTGTCCCAATATGTTTTCAGGTATTTTATGCTATTGAAGTTATTTTCATTTATTTATTTTCATTTTTCTATACATATTCAAGTGGAAATGATTACTATTGTAATAGTAATTTCCATTATCAAAAAGTGTATAACTTCTTTTTACTATAAAAGTGAACTCCATAGTACAAGTTGTGTAGTCTTGTGATCATCGTTCTTATATATATTAATGCATCATATTTTACGTACGAGAAAACGGAAGCCATCTAGTGAATGATCCGATCCTTAAATATAAGAATGCTATATAACATAGATGTAATGCAAATAAACGCTTCTTATATAACAGGTTATATTTTAATTATGTTGGTGTTATGTAATTATAACCTGTAAATAACAGAGAATTATAACAGTTTTAAAACACAGTTAGATTGCAGTTATAAAAGAAAATTATGTAACTTTAACATTAATAACGTATAGCACCCGTTATATTACGTGTTACTTCTATGTTATATAATAGTTATATTCTGTGTTTGCTGGGTTCTGTCTTTGTGTTTGTTTATTATGCGAGGAGGGTGTTTACATGCGGATCGTTACAAACGATTTAATGATTCTGCAAGTTCTTCTTGCGTCTGACTCGGATCTTGATCGAGTAAAGCTTCTACTTCCTCATCTTCAAACTTTTTCGGCTGGCCTGGACGTTCCTTGTCTTCCGTGTTAAAATCACCTATTTTATAGCGTCGAAACCAGTACTCACATGTTGAAATCGATGGAGTATAATCACCATAAGCTTCCGACAGCATTCGTTGACTTTCAGCAGCACTTTTCTTCAAATGGAAGCAAAAAAGTAAAACTTCCTGCAAATTGCGTTTTGTTGGCACAAAATTCGACATATTCAATGCTCAAAAAAAACAATGTTGTTTACACTTCGGCAAAATGACATACTGAAAACTAAAGTCACATGATGGTGCTTTGACATAAAAGTAGCAACAATACGGTCCGATGCGATATAGTACTAGTTACGCCAACTTTTGAAAATCTTTTAAAATTAGTACACACTCCCAATAGTACGTTCATAGAATATTCGAATAACACAACTATAAATGTGCAGAAAATTTATAAAATTTATAAAGTATTGTATTTCTCATAGATATGTATCATTACTGATCTATAATAAATGCGTATTACTATTTGGGACATTAGAAAAACTTTACAGTCTCATAAAGGAATTGTACAAGTAAATCTTACGAATGCCCTTATAGAAATGTAATACTGATAAGTAATAATTTGGCCAGTGATAATTACTGTCGTTCAATAATTTTATTACTTGTACGAGTAATAAAATTACTATTTATTACTGGCCAATTTATCATAGCCAGTGATACTTTTCTGTAAGGGTGTTCAAAGTGCATTCTTTTCTTTTATAAACATACGAATCTCTCTGCCTGCATATAAAACATTGTACGTGTATTCGTAAAATATTCTGGAATTAAGAACATCTATGTTTCATAAGAATATTCATAAGATATTTTGTACTGTCTGTATTCAGGGTCTATGATTCAGATGAACGTTTTAGGTCACGATAACGAAGTTGAGGAACAACGTTTCTCACCACCAAGTTTTTATCGGATCCATGCGTTTAGTTAAACTAATTGAGATTTTTTCCATTCATATATCCACACAGCAGGAATGTCCCAAATATATCATAAGGATATCTTGAAGATATCACATATCCCAAATATATCTTTAGGATATCCTTATGATATATTTTGGACATCTCTGCTGTATAGGTACATGCATTCATAAATATTTTAAATTAAGATTGCCCTTTGTACTTATCCTGTAACATAAGATGCTTCTTGTTTATGACGTTTATTATTTTGCACAGCGGTCTGCACCACTACTGACTTGGACGCTCTTCTATATCACATGAACAACGCGAGGTACCTTCGTGAACTCGACTTCGCGAGGGTGGATTTTTACGAGAGAACAGATCTGTATCGAGAGGTTTGCTCTCAAGGATCAGGCGTGGTGCAAGGAGCCACTACTATTCGCTACAGGCGATTCATCAAACCGTTAATGTTTTTCAAGATAACGTCCAAGGTAATACTCGATTGGACTGTTGCCTGAGAGACAGAGTTTCTTAAAAATATCGTTCAACATTCTGTCACTCAATCGGATTTAAAAAGTCGAATATGGAAGTACCAAGGCCAATTAGTTTTTGAAGTACGTAAGCTAAAAATTTGTTGTTATTGCATAGATTTCGTGAATCATAAAGACCATAAATAAATGTAAATAAAGGCAGTAAGATTCAAACAGCAACTAAATTGATTAATCACAGTCGAGAATTTCGACATGATAGGTTTAAGGGGACTGGAAGGTCAGATTGTTTGACAATCGTGCTTGTTCTTTCACAATTTTTTATGACAAACTGAATGAATATGCGAAAGTGTTGTTTTGACGTGTATTTATACAATAAAATATAAAGACATTTATATAAAGACAAGAAAAATATAATTTTGATGATCAAATACTCAATATAAATGTATGGTACATGCAGTTATATCACATGCAGTTATATCATGTCAATCACATTGACATTGGAAGTTTTCAAACTAAGATGTATGAATATTGTCACATGTGTATTGGCCAACGTCTGTGTCTGACGGTGAATTGTGCCGCCTCTGCCTATTTTCCTTATCTGGTCCGTAAGGCCAGTTCTATATTACTTGCAAATCGCAAGATCGTAAGAAAATTTACCAATCACAGTCGATCGTTCTCTTACGGCCAAAGAAGAATTGACTGTGATTGGTCTATTTTCTTGCGACTTTGAGACTTGCAACTAATGTAGAATGACTTTAAGAAGCTAACTATTTATCTTTATAGCTTAGCAACTAAGCCTCGGATAACATTTTGCAAGAGAAAAAATAGAATTCTTAGAATTCGCTTAAAAATACGATAATATTAATCTATATATATCTAATATATAGTATAATTCTAATAATCGATAATTCGATAATCTAATAATTCGATAATCTAATAATAAGTATTAGAAATTTTTAAGTTTAATCGAGAGAGAGTTATCAGGACATATTCTAAAATATTATTTGATCTTTTTAGAATAGTAAATAATGAAAAAATCAAATCACATTGTATGCGAAACATTCCTTTAAGATGTTATTTTCCTTAAATGTTTTTGACAATACATATTTAGGATAACAATCTTTGTTAGAATCTTGCATAACTGTAACATAATATTTTCACCTTTTTCAGATTATTTATTGGGACGAAAGGAGTTTTTTCATGGAGCATCGATTTATTACGCCTAACGACGGATTCGTGCGAGCCATCGCGATTTGCAGACAGAAACTGCTCGATTGTAGTGCCGATACTGTTATTGGCGCTCTAATAAATCGTAGAGTGAAGCAAAATGAAAATGTCGAGGCAAGTGTAACGCAGGTAGAAATAAATCCGTAGCTAACATTTTTACATATTGCAAATGCACATCGCTTCGAGCGATTGAAGTTGCTCTCAGAGATGTTCATAGTTGAACATAGTTGAATCACCATAGTTGACGTAATTAGTCGCTAATCCTTTAGATGGCGATTTCTGTCATGAAATTTTCTGTCTGTCGAATAACATTACGTTTATGCATTTCGATACTTTTTATATATTTATTTCATTAAGTAATAATTGTTAATTTAAAATAA